GCGCCGGGGGCCCCCCCCCGCCCCCAACCGCTCACTGGGGACCCTGCGGCCGGGAAACCCACCCTCTCGCGGTCCCCAGCCTGCGCTCTCCGCCCAGCCGTGGGCGGCACGTGACCCGCCTCCGCTCAGCCCCGCCTCCGGCCGACGCGCCCCACCCATAAGAGCGTCCCCGGCGCGATGACGTAGCTGCGCACGCGCATACGTAGCTGTCCGTGACGCCAGGAGCTGCTTTGTCTGTGGGCGGAGGTGAGTATTGAGCTTCTGAGCCGCTGTGGTGAATGGGGTACGCTAAAGACCGAGGGGACACGAAAAAGTTAGGGGAGAAGACCCGGAATCCTGTCCTCCGGGTTCTGGGGTACAGAGCGGTGTCCCGCGCCCTCTCCGGACCGGGACGGGGGACTGTTCCGCACTAATGTAATGGAGCGTTTCTTGTGGAAGCCGCTCGTCCGGCGCCCAGGTGTAGGAGTTTAGGGTTTCTTGGCCTCAGTTTACTGTTTATTTTTTTAATTAATTATTTTATTTATTCATTTATTTATTTTAACTTGACCAGAGAAGAGAGAGAGAGAGAGAGAGAGCAAGCAAGCAAGCCAGCCTCTAGGTCCAGGACTCGAACCATAGTCGGCCCTGTGGGAGTTTCCAACACCTTAACCACCACACCACCTGCTGGTCCCTTGACTGTTTATCAGTGCATTTTCTTGGAGGACAGGGTTTAGGTATTGAGAAAACTCAAGATTCGGATACCTTGTTTGCACCTTTTTTGGAGGGAGGGGGAGCCAAGAACTGCGCTTAATTTCTTAGCTTGGTCTCCCCACCTGTGAAACGAGACGGTTGAGTTCTCTGTAATTTTTGAGGCCCCGTTCAGGAACACCATACTGATTCTTGCCTCCGAAATCTTTTATCATTTTCCTGGATGGGAAAATAAAATCCTTTGATGGCCACGTTTTACACCTGGGCTGGGCACAGTGGTATGGAGTTAGTTCGCTCTCTTTCATTAGAATTAATTAATCGTGCATGGGTAGGATTTGTTTGCAAATAAAGTATACTTATGATTAATATCCCAGGTAGACTCATTTCCGTTTTGTTGAAAGAATGCATGTTTCCTTAATGTTAGCTCTTGTCTTTCAGAGATTTCATTGTTTAATGTGGAAATTTAATATTTTGCCTCATTTCAGAAGTAAATCCCCAAAGTATATTGGAGTTAATGGTTTTGAATTTTATGTCCCCCTTATCCTTTTTTTATTAGCATTCTTGAGGTTATCTGCACCTTCTGACGGGAAAGATGGTCAACGTCTTGAAAGGAGTGCTTATAGAATGGTTAGTAGTTTTGATACTTCGTGAGCTTTAAATTTGCTTGATTTATATGTATGCTTTTTCTAAAACCTCTCCATTTTTGTTTTATTTTAAGATCTGGGTGAAATCTTTCAACTTTTCAACTTAAATTTTCCTTTTTGACAACCGGGACAGATTTTTGTGGCTAAGTTCCTTCCTATGCCCGTTTTCTATGTCTCTTGAATTGATGTCGTTGTTATTCCAACAGCATCTCTTCTTTATTTGCAGTAGAGCAAATGCATGTGCATGCAAGAGAAGCACCTTTTGCAGGGTCTGGTCATGCAGCTGCCTCTTCCCCCATTCCTCCAGTTGGTGGGAGCTTGGACACACACACACCCACCAGGCATGTTTCCGGTTGACCCAGTGGAGGTTCTGACTACAGCCCTATTTTCCACAATTTTTTTTAAAATCAGAGGCAGTATATTTGTTAGATTCCTTCTCTTTAGAGAAATAGTACTTGTACTCTCCTCAAGCCATTAAGAGTTGATGAGAATTTTAGAGCCTGTAGGAATTCAGGAACTTGCTCATCTTCACCATTACAGACTCTGTGGTCTGCAAGATTAATGAAAGGAGAACAAGAGATTCAGTGGAAGTTTCTTGAACTGCTTTGCACACATTGTAAAGGAGAAACTAGAAACCATAATGGGCAGGATTGAGTTCCTCCAATCAATCTATCATACAAAGCTCTATTATGGGCCAGCAGATAGCATAGTGGTTGCATTGGTGGAGTCCCATATGTCTGACCGTGGTTCAAGTCCTGAACCTGGTGGCTTGAAATTCACACCAGGCACATGAGTGTGCGTGTGCCCAAGATCCTGGGAGGAGAATGAGGGGAAAAGAGATTGCAGTTTGGCCTTACTTTCTAAGAGGTGATTTCTCACTTTCCTCTCACTGTTTCTGTCTCTCCAGCGAGCACACATACCCTAAGCCAGAAACCTCTTTTAAAAAAAAAAAAAACGTGCACATGTGTCCAAAATCTTGAGAGAACAGCAAGGCCATCCCTCCCAGAGGGTGATTTCTCACTTTCTCTCTGGTAAGCACACTTGCACTGCAGCAAAAATCTTTTAAAACAAAGTCATTTACAGGCTTTTGGGTTAGCTCTAAGGAGAAAGTACAGTTTTTGTGTTTTGTTTTTTAAAGGAGATTTTTGTTAAAGGGCATATGGGCTCGCTAAAGAAACAGACAGCTAGAAATCACCCTCCAGAGGGGATGGCCACACCACAATCCCTTCTCCATTCTCCTCTCAGGATTTTGGGTATGCACGCACATGCACCTGGTGTGAGCTTTAGGCTGCTGGGTCCGGGATTCAGACCATACTCAATCATGTGGGAGTCCAGCAATGGAATCATTACGCCATCTGCTGTTCCCAAGAGTACAGATTTTTAAAAGAAGTTAAAGAGTGAAAGTGTTGGGACCAGCAATTAGCATAATGGCTATGTCGCTGGACTCTCATGTAGTTGACCGCGGTTCAAGTCCCAGACCTGGCAGCTTAAACTCACGCCATGCGTGCGTGCCCAAGATCCTGAGAAGAGAATGGAGGAGAAGGGATTGTGGTGTAGCCATCCTCCCTGGGGGATGATTTCTCGCTTTCTGTCTGTCTATCTGGTGAGCACACGTGCCCTATAGCAAAAAACTCTCCAAAAAAAAAAAATAAGGTGGAAGTTTTCTTTCCTTGGGTGGTCTTTCTGCCGTGTTTACTTTCCTTATATCCAGCCTCTGAATTCTGTCAGTGCTCCATTAGTTGTCATCTTGTTCTAACTGTGTAAGCCCAGTCAGCAACTGCATCATCTGGAGCTTGTTAGAAATGCAAAATCATGGGACTGGCAGTTGGTGTGGTTAGCAGCACTGGACTCCCACATGGCTGACCACGGTTTGCATCCCAGACCTGATAGATTGCTTTCTCACTTTGTCTCTCCCTCTTCCTCCCTCCCTCTCTGATCAAATTAAAATAAAGTTAAATAAAAATAATTCTTAAAAAAAAAATTTTTAATGCAAAATTTGGGGCCAGCAGGTGGCATAGTGGTTAAGGTGCTGGACTCCCACAGAGCCAACTGAGATATGAGTCTCAAACCTGGTGGCTTGAAACTCACACCAGGCACATGCGTGCATGCCCAAAATCCTGAATGGAAAATGGAGGAGAAGAAATTGGTAGGTGGTGATTTCTCACTTTTTTTCTCTGTCTCTTTTTCTGAATCCAGAAAGCACACATGCCCTATAGCAAAATCTCTCTTTTTTTTTTAAAAAAAAAAGAGGTTTACGTCACTGGACTCCCATGTAGTCAGTCACAGTTAGAGTCTTGGACCCTGCAGCTTAAACTCATGCCTGGTGCATACAAGATCCTGAGAGGAGAATGGTAGAGAAGAGATTGCAGTGTGGCCATCCCTGCGGGTGGTGATTTCTAGCTTTCTGTCTCTGTGGCAAGTACACGCACCCAATAGCAAATATCTCTCTTAAAAAATAAATTAAATTTTAAAAATAAATGCAAAATCGTGGAGTCAGCAGGTGGCATGGTGGTTAGGTGTTGGACTCCCACATGGCTGACCCCAGTTTGTGTCTTGGACCTGACAGCCTGTAAAAACCTCACTAAGTATGCACGTGAATGCCTAGAATCCCAAGAGGAGAATGGAAAAGGAACTGTGGCTTTGCCATCATTCCTGGGGGGTTATTTTTCACTTTCCCTCTCTGTGAGGAGTATATGTGCCCTGTGGCAAAAGAACCTAAAACAAAAAAAAAAGCAGGCAGGCAAAATCTCAGACCTCAACCTAAATCTACTAAATCAGAATTGTGAATACAAAGGATCTTGTTAAGATGCATGTAAATTTTGAGAAGCACTATGAATCAACTTCAGTTTGAAAGCCAGTTATCTTGTGGAGAATTGTTTCATACCGATACTGTTAAATTTTTCCTTACAGGTGGGTACTGCCCTGCAAAACAATTTAATTTTTCCCTTCAAGGCAAATTTTGAGGAGTTGCCTTGCACAATTTTTCAGAAGGGTAACTGTCTTCCCAAAGATACAAATCTTACAAAATAACTCCAAGCCTAAAAAATTAAATAGATTGGGACCCGCAGTTGGCGTAATGGCTATGTCATTGGACTCCCATGTGGTCAACTGCGGTTCAAGTCCTAGACCCGGCGGCTTAAACTCACACCAGGCGTGTTTGCGTGCATGCCCAAGATCCCGAGAGGACAATGGAGAAGGGATTGCAGCATGGCCAACCCCCCTGGAGGATAATTTCTCACTTTCTGTGTCTCTGTCTCTCTGTTGAGCACATGCACCCTATAGCAAAAAAACTCTTCCTCCCCCCCACCCCCAAAAAAAGAAGAAATAAAATAGAGCATAAAGGCCAGAATTGGAGGATCCTTCAGTCAGGTGCAGATGTGGATGTTGGTAGGATAACTCAAAGTTACCGTTTCTCTCATGTCTTTATTGAATGCCAAAGAGTTTGTTATTAATATATTATTAGCATAAGTCTGTTTATTGCCTCATAAAATCCACAGATTATAAAAATGCACTTAGGTGCAGTGGAATATAGAGTTTGGTAGCCCTGGGGCTTATAGGGAAACCACTCAATCTCCAGAATTGGTTCCATTTCCCAGTAATTCTCCAGATCCCGGTCCCTTCCCAGTACGGGGTAATGTGCAGCACCTACATGGTGCTGTTGTGCATGTGCAGACCAGGCTGCAGCAAAAACCCTCCTGTCTGGAGTGGCGAAGTTGAAGAAAGCCATCTAATGTGACACCTGGCTTAGACTGGCTTAGTTTACTGCCGTATTTATTGTCAATTCTTTTAAACTGATTTTTGAGTCAATAGTAAAGAAGCAAGTAAACCAGATTTTTATAGTGACCATTTAGGCCCAGCTTCAGTGAATTGGAAAATCAAGATTCTTAATTTTTCAAGAATAAGATAAGATTCTTTCCTCACAAGACTTAACAAATACCAAAGTCAGAAATGCTTATGAATTTGTATTTTCATGTTAAAACAAGGTTGGTGACAACTTCCTCTTTGCTGGAATACACTGTCAGCTGCCAGGCTCACACCAAGCATCTCTGCATCTAGCCAGCCACAGCAGTTACCTAGGCAAACAGCACATACCCGGCATATGTCTGTTTGGGATTCCAGGTGCTGGAGCAGACCTGTGGTGTGACAGCACAGTTAGTTTGGCAAATGCTTCTGGAAGGCTGGCTTGTTGCAGAGGTGCAAATTCCAGCCAGTTTATAACACAGTAGTGAAGAATCTAGAGAACTGTTAATATAAGGAGTCTTCAAAAAATTCATGGAAAATGCATACTGTAGAAAAATTATACATGGGTTTCTGTATTTTACACTAAAACTCATTTTTTTGTTCCATTTTCCACAAACTTTTTGAAGTCCTCTCATGCATTATTAGGCCTGCTTATCCTAATGGGTTTGGCTTCTAAACTGTGTTTTCTGAGAAGCAAGTAAGAAAAGCAAATGCAAGGCCAGTCTAATCATTGTTCTGTTCTTCCCATTTCTTCTTTTTTTCTTTTTTTTTTTTTTGAGAGAGATTTTCGCTATACGGCATGTGTGCACGCCAGACAGACAGAGAAGGACATAGACAGAAAGCTAGAAATCACCCCCCAGGGGGAATGGTCACGCCGCAATCCCTTCTCCATTCTCCTCTCAGAATCTTGGGCACGCATGCACACGTGCCCAGCGTGAGTTTTAAGCCACCGGGTCCGGGACGTGAACCGTGGTCGACTAGGTGGGAGTCCAGCGACATAGCCATTACGCTAACTGCTGGTTCCCTGTTTTTCCCATTTCTCAATTTATGTAAGCCTTTGCTTCTTTTCATTTGTTTGTTTTTTTGGTTTTTGTTTTTGCCATGGGGAGCATGTGTTCCTGGAGAGAGACAGAGAGAAAGTGAGAAATCTCACCCCAGGGGGTATGGCCACGCCACAATTCCTTCTCCATTCTCCTTTCAGGATCAGCAGTGGACATGTATGTACACAAGCCTGGTGTGATT